ATCAGGTCTCTCTTGTAAATGAGTCCTCGAGGCTCAATGGGATTACCGGTCTAAATAAAGGTTGAATGAAAAAAATTATCACAATAATTTCTGAGACAATTAATCGCCCAGCAAATTTTGTTATTGTGACAGGCCTGTGTGTTTACTACTTCTGTAGACTCAAGTTGAGAGAAAAATAAGCCCAATGTTTAGGAAATGGCACAAATATTGTTTCATTAATTTGTATCATTTTTCTGCTTTCCTTCACCTGAACATAAAAAAAAAAATATTCAAACCTGCAGATTTTGGGGGTGGTACTTTCTGTCTGTGTCCCAGGGTGGAAGTTCTTCTCCAAACATGACAGTCAGGTGGTCTCTGAAACTAAAGACAAAAAAAGACCAATAACTTTGAAACCAGTAAAGAATTGTTTTGTGCAGGAAGCTAAATAGTGCCCCCATGTGGCATTTTTTAGCTATTGGCACTTTAATAAAAAATATTGTATATAGGTAACGGTAGTTATAAAATAAACGTAAGAATATTTTTTTATTAATTACCAATTATTTTCACAGAAGGCTGAGATAAAATCACTCTGTTGATGTTCAGGATAGAGAAAAAGAACAGGCCAGTGGAGAACGCCCTGCTCGTCCAGGAAGACCTGAGCCCCTGTGACCTCCTGAGAGCTCAAGCCATCCAGGCTCAGCTCAGCTAACGCTGCTGAAGAGCGCTCATCCTCATCCTCACCGTCTGAACTCTGCGAGCGAGGCCTCACAGGCTGGAAAAGCTTGATGCCTCGATCCTGTGCAGAGAGCACAAAAATATTACTGATAATTATAAAAGAAACTGCAGCTTTTAAAATTCCATTCATGTCAATTAAAAAGATTTGCTTTGTCTGGAGTTTCAAGAAAACTGAAGTGGTTTCTTTAATTTAGATTCTCTGTCTGACAAAATGATAAAAATTTTAGTAGGTTTAAACAAAAACTGGATTTCCTCTTTTTTTTCTTTTCTTTTTAACACTCTTTATTTTGTCCTTCCCCCCCACCCCCAACAAGAAAATTGAAAAAAAAAAAAAAAAAAAAAAAAAACCCAGAACCCAAGCTTTGGGATTACATTTCTCATATATTTAAGTCTGTCGCGTTGTGGGTTTTATACAGTGCCCATTTCCACCAGTTCCATTCGAAGGCATCCAGTTTGAGTCGCAGTAAGAAAGTCCGTTTCTCCATTTTGTAAATCCCTTCCATTGTTTTACTTTTGGTGATTCTCTTTTCAGCCAGTTTTTTGTGATAGCTTTCTTCACGGCCATCATTATTTCAAAGATATAAATATCCACTTTTACAATCAAACCTTCTGGAATCAGACCGAGGTATAGAACCCGTGGATCCCTCAGAACGTTGTTTATTATCCCAACAACCTCTGACCAGAATGGTTATAATTTATCACATGCCCCAAAAATCATGTAGGTGATTGGGATTTATGTGGCCACATTCTCTCCAGCATTGTTGTATTGTCTTAATTTCTTTGCTTTTAATATTATGTGTAATAAAATATTGTATTAAGTTCTTCCATTCAAATTCTCTCCAACCTCTAGAGCCGGTGGAGCCGAGTTGTGTTTTGCACATCAAGTGCCAATCGCTCTCAGATTTCCATTGGAATTTCGTTTTCCCATTTGATTGTTACATAATATGACTTATTCCCATTGCATTTTTAAAAGGCACATGTAAAGTTTAGAAACTGTGTTGGCATCCGTTTCATCGAGTTCAGCATCATTTTCACCAGCTCACTACAGTTGGCCAATAACTGCAGTTTCACCTGAGAGTCATAAAAGCGTCTTAGCTGTAAGAGGTCTTTATTTTCTATTTTGAATTTGTTTTTAACTTTTTCAAATGTTTTAAAGGTAATTCCCTCAGTCAAAGTGCTTATTGCCGTTATGCTTCTGTCCGTCCACCTGTTAGTTCTGGCCAGTCTCTCCTGGTCTGAAGATGCTGGTGTGTGAAGGCCACAGCAGTAGTTGGCAGTCTCCCTCCAGTTTATATCTCTTTACTATCTCTGACCTTACTGCTAGTGTTTCTGTTACCGTAATGGTATCCTCTTCCTGGGATCTAAACTGTTTCTCTCCCAGTCTGGCCTGAGGTTAGACTCTGCTCTGGCTCAGCTCTACCCATTTCAATTTAGCAGTACAGTCTGAAGAGCACCAGCACACGATATATCTCATTTGGGCAGAGTAGAAATATTCTCTTAAATTTGGTAGAGGCCTCCCCGCTCCTTCTCCAACTGCAGTGTTTTGAATTTGATGCGCGGTCTCCTTCCTGCCCAAATAAACCTCGGTATTTGTCTGACACACGCTGCAAACTGAGATTCAGATTGGTAGAGAGGTAAACAAGTATAATAATCTGGTGAGTATGTTCATTTTAATCACTTCGATTCTTGAATTAAAATACACAAGTTTGGTTGACCATTATGATAGATCCGTTTAGGTTACTGTTGATATTTGTATAGATTGCCATAAAAAAGTGTGTCCAAGTCCCATTTTAGTTTTTTTGTTTAATAATCAGTTTGGAGTATAATTGACACAGATGACCTGTGTTTTTGTAATATTAAGTTTATAACCAGACTTCTGGCCAAACTCATTAAGGACTGTAAAAAGTTAGGAAGAGATGAGTCTGGGTTTGAATGTATGTGATGACATCCTCCACAGATAATCCTATTTTGTGTTCTTGTTGTGCAATAATTATTCCTTTAATGTCATCATTTTGTCTGATTTCTTGGGCCAAAGGTTCAATGAACAGGATTTCCTCTTTAAATAAAAAAGAGGTCCAATTCCCTTAGACCTACTATGCTAAAATTTAAGATTAAACACAAGTTAATCTGACATGTACCTTTAAAGCGGTCAGAAGAGCCTCTTTCTCACCGTGCAACTTCTTTTCTTTAGCCTTGGCCTTCCTGTCATCTCTCTCTGCTGCTCTCTATAGACACCAGAAACAAAAACAAGTGTAACAACTTTCACACACAGCATTAAGCAAAAAAATACTAATCTAATGGCTAACCTTGTGTTTATCTGCTGCTGCTCTCAGCTCTTGCAGCTTCTTGTCACTAGGGTGAACCTTTAGCCCCTTGTCACACCACTGGATTGCCTCTACAAATTTACGCAGCTCTATGCAGCACTGAGCACCTGCAGAACAGAACGAGAGTTAACACATCATCTAAACTACGTACTGTTACAGAAATGTGACAATCATCATCTTGGCACAATTGTGTTCTTCCTGGAACAAGTTTGGTCCAGTGATCAGTACATGTGTTTTGTAATCATTTCTTATTCATTCACATTAATTATGTTTGAGTTTACAGGTTACAGACCTCTGATCAAGGCTTTGAGGTGGTCTGGTTTGATCTTTATCGCTGCTGCAGCATCATTCAGCGCAGAGCGCATGTTACCTGTATTCAAGAAAATCAAAGCGAACAAATATATTTATAGAAACATATGAAGATAACTATATAATATATAAAACATGAAGAAATATGACAATACAAAACAGTAAATGTATCTCACAGCTTTTGAATCTTAACGTGCTGAACACTTTTACCCAGATAGAAGTGTGAAGCTGCTCGGTTTGTGAAGAGCACAGCGTTGAGCTCCTGGTCGCCACATTTCTTCTTCAAAGCTTCAGTGTACGCCACCACAGCCTGCGTGAACTTCTTCTCTTTGAAATATGCATTTCCTTCATCTTTCAGGCTCTTCGCTTGTTCTGAAGAGGAAAAAAGGTCACACATTTTCAAACCTGGAGTGACTAAAGACATCATTTAGTTCACGTTTAGGCCCACTAACCTACTGGAGATCGGTCTTCATCATGGATTATAGACTGGATACATGCTAGTTCTGGATATTTCTGTGGATCGATCTCTTCAGGGGCCGATTTCATAAACATGGGTACTTTACCGAACTCCTACAAGAATGAAAATGTCAGGTGTCCTGAAGATAATTGTGTACAACAACAAGGCTAAAATCACAACCTTTTAAAAGCTGGTTTTACCTCCTCCCAGTTGTTTTCAGTGAATGCATTTTTGTATCGCTGCGTCTTGAATTGGTCCATGAACTCGTCCATTCCGTCGTCACTGTCACTCTGAACCTCCGTTGACGCCATTTTTTAGCTCAAGTTATAAATTAAAACTTCGTTTTAATGTTTCTGTGTTCGCAAGCCTTTTAGAAAGTTAAGTAATTGCAGAATTAAACCAAGCTACCGGCTCGTTACAGACTGAACGCCGACTTGTTTACGCATGTGTCTGCGGTTCAACGGTAATCAGAATCCGTTCGGAAACGTAGAACCTGCACATTCGTTCCGCAGTTAATGACCCCACTGTAACGGGTCTACTGAAACGTAATGTTTTTTTTTTTATTACCACAAAGTTGAGCAGATTAAGGATTTTTTTCCGTTTGTTTGTTTTACACATACAGTTTCTTCAGTGTTAATATTATTCTTTTCCTAAACAAAAATATCCTAGACAACTGAGCAAGTATATGCAAAAACTGACCCCAATTATAAACTATCCAGTCCTACTTTAAATTGTGTAGGTTTATTATATAGCATGGTTTTTCTAACTATTGCAATCCATGTAAGTACATATAAATGTCAAACAGGAACTTTACATAACTAAGTATGAGGCTTTAATGTGATTTTTGATATTAATCTCTGCTGAAGAGACTGTTTTAATGTACTTTACCAAATTAACTAATTTAGTTGCAACTGTACTTTTATTCCACTTGTACGTCTGTTCAGTTTTCCAAATTTATGTTTGAATTGTTGTATTTAAATTTATGAAATTCACAGACTGACCCATATCGTATGTGAGCTACATCAATACGTACTTTGTTCTTAATCATTTTAATTCAGAAATAAAACAAATAAAAACCACTACTAGCAGTCTAAAACAGGTCTCACTTGTAAATGAGTCTCCGAGGCTCAATGTGATTCATCTGTATAAATAAAGGTTGAATGAATAAGTCAAAAAGGACTATCTATCCTGATGCATGCTCAATAATCCAGGTAGAAAAATCTAAAAAAGTTAAATCTGGTCCACTGGACATTCAAAAAACAAAAACAAAAAATAAATAAATGTAGAAACTGTTTCGTATTTCATCCGAAAGACTTCCTCAGTCTGAGGTGCTGTATTTAGCTCAGTCTCTTAAATAGCACCTTCTCAGAGTGGATCAACCAGTTTTGCTGCCGACAACCAAAACCAGCTGCTCACGTGATCAAGAAGGACCATCAGCCTAACAATGGATCATTAACACACTGATGGCTGTTTACTATTCACAGGGGGTTCAGTGATACTAGCAATAACAGCATTGTTTCTACATTTTTTTGTTTTGTTTTTTTAATGTCCGGAGGACCAGATCTAACTTTTTTAGATCAAAAAGGACCACATTCTTTTCTTCTTCTTCTTTCGGCTGCTCCCTTCTTCAGGGGTCACTACAGCGAATTAAGTCGCACGAAGACTTGGCAGTTATTTTTACGCCGGATGCCCTTCCTGATGCAACCACAGCCCTCTGTGTGGAGCAGAGAGCCGATATCTAGGACACACAGAGGAGCAGATGGTGGGGGTTAAGGGCCTTGCTCAAGGGCCCAGAGTGGGACGAATGAGGGTGGGGGCAGGTGTGGGTGCTTCACCTACCCCACCCACATTTTTGATGTCGTCAGTACCAGGGCTTGAACTGGCATCTTCCCATCACAGGCCCACCTTCTCTAACCTCTGCGCCACCACTCCAACAAAAAAAAGAAAAAAAAAGAGGACTACTAATAAGTAATAATAAACTAATTATATATATA